CCCCGATGACACTGGGCCAGTTTTTCTACACAAGATGGAGGAATACTGCTTCTTTCCTAGCCTCAAATCCACACGCAGGCCATTCAGCTCATCAGAACTCTAAAGTGTGACGCTTACTTTGCATTGCCACTATGGGAATGACGGGAACCAGTTGTCAGGGCCAGGGAACTCTGCTAACTCTGCAAGAGGACTGGTGAAGACAAGAGAGCTAGTGATTGGATGAAAATTCCACCATTCAAAGCATGTCATCACTATTGTTTTCCCCACTGTTCCCCACCCCTCTTACACAGGGAAACAAAAATTGCAATTCTTCTTTCCAGCCTTCTCCACTCTCAAAGGGGGTAAAAGACATCAATCAGCACCATGTCCTCCTCAGCTGTATTAGTATATTTGGATACAGAAACCAGAAAATATATCCCCATTGGAGAGACCTGCTCATTACACACACTCTAATCCCTCTGCCACTACCATGTTCGTCTTGCTATGGTTTTGGTGCAGAACATAACGTTGAGTTCAATGCAAACTTCACGGCATGAATGATCAAACGTCATGTCACAGATAAGATTCTGTCACAAGCACCTGGAATGAAATGCCTCACATTCTTTAAACAGTCTAGTTTATTTAGAGAGATAATACTCATCCAGAAGAATTGGTGTTGGAAGGGTGTAGATACCAAGGAAGGATTGGAATGGTTGAGTATGGGACAAAGTGCGTCGGAATAAGGGCTGAAACAGAAACAGGGAAATTTGGCTGGGATCAGGAAACCTTTCCTAATTGTGACATCTACTATCCTGTGGAATAATGTCCTTATTAGCAGTGTCCTTAAATGTCCTTAAAGCAGTGGAAAACCCATCATAGGAGACAAAAACTAGATCAGAGAAAACAATGGAAAATATACATTATTGCAGGGAAAGCTAGGGGAAAAGAGGCTTTTAAGATGGACAAGCTACGATTTCATTGGTCTCTTCTATCTCTAATTCAGAGCAATCTGGATTGCTTGTTAAACTGGGAGCAAGCAAACAATATGTGCTTTAATACAGTTAAATGTAAATGTATACATCTGGGACAAAAGAATGCAGGCCATACTTACAGGATGGGGGACTCTATCCTGGGAAGCAATGACTCTGAAAAAGATTTGTCATGGTGGTTAATCAGCTGAACATGAGCTCCCAGTGTGATGCAGGACCCAGAAGGGCTCATTCAAATCTTGGATGCATAAACAGGGACAGGGGAATCTTGGGTAGAAGTAGAGAGGTTATTTTACCTCTGTATTTGGCACTGGTATGACCACTGCTGGAATACTGTATCCAGTTATGGTGACCACAATTCGAGGCTGTTGGTAAATTGGAGAGGGTTCAGACAAGAGCCATGAGAATGATTAAAAGACTGGAAAACACGCATGACAGTGACAGACTTAAGGAGCTCAAGCTTTTTTGCTTAACAAAGAGAAAGTTAAGGGATGACTTGGTCACAATCTATAAGTACCTACATGGGGAACAGATATTTAATAATGGGCTTTTCAGTCTAGCAGAGAAAGGTGTAATACAATCCAATGACAGAAAGTTGAAGCTAGACAAATTCAAACTCGAAATAAGGCATACATTTTTGTCAACGAGGGTAATTAAGCACTGAAACAATTTACTGAGGGTCATGGTAGATTCTCCATCATTGACAATTTTTCAATCAGGATTGGATGTTTTCCCAAAAATCTATTCTAGGAACTATTTTGGGGGAGTTCTCTGGCCTGTGCTATATAGGAGGTCAGATTAGATGATCACAATGGTCCCTTCTGGCCTTGGAATCTATGAATGTATGATTGCTAAAATACTATGATTTGCTGGTTTTCCAGTGCATTGGCTGTTTGTGGAAGATGGTAACATCAAGCTGGTGCTTTGGTGAAGATCTGAGCAGTTTCTTGTAAGGTATGAACTGTGCCAAACAAAAAGAAGCCAGTTCTTTCCAGTTCCTCTATTGCAAGGAAAAAATATTTGCTCAGAGCTGTAACCAATGATCACACCTGGTAAAAGTCAGCTCTCAATCCATTGGTCAGCTCCATTACTGATTGATTTAGATGTGTCACCTACCAGGTGGGATGTTTGAGTCTCACTTGTTTGGGGCATCATGTGACAAGGCTGATGAGGTGAGGAAAGGGCAGTTTGGGAGTATGTTTCTGTTTTTTCCACTATGTTAATCAGACACTGCCAGGCCTGCATTGTGCACTGCAATTCTTCTTTTGAATATTTTAATTTCTGATAAACTCATTAGTTTTAAACATGTGAAAAGTGAATTCATTGCTCTTGAAAGCAAGGGACTGACAGTACTGCCTCAGGCCGACCAAAGTGGAGATAGGTGCCATCCAAGCATTCCCAGCCCAACTCATTCCTCACTTTCTAATCCAGTCCCAGGCCTTGAATGAATAGAGAAGGCCACATGTGCCAGTCTGTGCTGTGGTTTTGTTATGTGTCTATGTAGGCATTAGAATGAGACCACAAAAACACCATGTATTAACACAGCCCATGTACCCAGATGCCTGGATGTGTACCAACTTGTTGCGCCCCCGAGCTGCCCTGTTTTCTTTATCCCAGATAATCTCTGTGTGCCTGATCATAGTGCCCAATGAAGTCAATGGGAGTCTTTCCACTGAGTTCCATGTGTTTTGCATGAGGCCCAATTAGTGATGCAAATAGATCTCTTCAGGAGCACAGAAACATGTCATCTTGGCACAGCAACAAAGCAGTGCCAGGCCAATGGGCCCAAATTGTTCATTCTTTGAAACCCCCAAGAGCCCTAGCACTAACTTTGGGTGGTTGCACCTCCCCACCTTGCTCCTCAGAGCTGTTCATATTGTCATTGTTACTTGTATTGCGGTAGCACCTAAAGGGCGCCCCACTGGCCTCGGCGCTGTACATACACATACAGTGCCTTGCTACTTGGCTGGAGATGGCGCGCTGCATGCTGAGACCTGTGCACTCCGTACTGAAGCAGGAGGAACCGCAATAGGAGATCTCTGTAAACTGCATTTTGGCCTCCCTTTTTAGTCAGTGAGTAATTATTTTTACCCCACACCCTGGAACCTCAGAACCTGTAATGGTTAATTATTGAGGGTGGGAGATAATCCTCTCATAGTTACCACTGATTACATTTTAACCTCTTCTGCTTTCAAACCCCTGGCATTCCTCTGCAGTCAGCTCATTCTGACCTAATCCCAAGGACAGATAGTGGGGAAACAGCCCTAATTCATACCCAGAATCAGTTCACATCTGCGGGCAAAATAATCAATTGGGGGTGGAGCTGGGGCAGCTGGGGAAAGAGAGAGTTCCTCTCTTTTGTGATGTTCCCCTCTGGTGTTATCTGGACCGGTGATCTGCTAGGTCACCCCAATCCTTGGCTCTGGGAGCCAGCTTTACCCTGCTCTGCTGTGAGAACCCCCACTCCTGGGCTGTTCACGCACAGCCTCTGGCATGTAAGGTGCTCCTTGGATTGTGCAACCGAATGACACTAGCCAATATCTCTGGTCCCAGACACAACCTTAGGAACCTCCGTCTTGTAGTGTCCAGTTATGCCCGCTGGACGCTGCAAGCTTATATGAGATTGTCAATTTAACGAAGAAATTGATAAGTACCAGGCTTGTCATCCCAAGGGGAGTCTCTTATGCTTCAAACCAAACACACTGCTTCAGGTAAAATAAACAAACAGATTTATTAACTAAAAGGATAGATTTTAAGTGATTATAAGTCAAAACACAATAAATCGGATTTGGTCAAATGAAATAAAAGCAAAACGCATTTTAAGCTGATCTTAACACTTTCAATGCCCTTACAAACTTAGATGCTTCTCACCACAGGCTGGCTGGTTGACCTTCGTCCAGGCTCTCTCTTTTGAGCAGCACTTCAGTCGCTTGGTGGTCATGTCTGTAGATGGAGGTGGAAGAGAGAGGAAGAGCATGGCAAACGTCTCTCCTTTTTATCATGTTCTTTCTTCCCTCTTGGCTTTGCCCCCCTGCCCCCACCACCCTTCAGAGTCAGGTGAGCATTACCTCATTGCAATCCCAAACTGACCAAAGGAAGGAGGGTGACTCACTCAAGAGTCCAACAGATCCTTTGTTGTTGCCTAGGCCAGTGTCCTTTGTTCCTGTGAGGCTGGGCTGGGTTTGTCCCATTCAGCCCTGATAAGGTGTGAACTGCCCCTCTGCTCTTGGAGAGTTTTTGCCTTGGCTTGCTTTAAGCCATGAGGACACAGTTACAGCCTCATAACTATATACATGAAATTACAACCTATCACATTACTATAACATTACCATAACAACGATTACTATAACATTACTATAACAACAATGCTCAGTACACCATGAGCCTTCCAAAGACACCCGACATGACAAACTTTGCATTAGATACCACACAATCATATTATAAGGATGAACATGGGGGTGTAAGGTGTTGCCATGAGGTACAGAACGTCACACTCTCCCCTTGCAAACTGTGGCAAGTAGATGATCTGTGTAGGGCCAGCAGGAAGGAACAAACCCAAACAAAAACTTGGGTTCCCTGAGGAGCCATGTCAGACAGGACAGTCATGAGCAGATCCTAAACCACCAGTGCACCCCCAGCCAGTGGACAGTGTTACTGTGTGATGCCCCCTCGCCAGCCACGGTTCATCTCCTCCCTTCTGAGGGATTCATTCCCATTTGGAAAAAAGAAAAGGAGTACTTGTGGCACCTTAGAGACTAACCAATTTATTTGAGCGTAAGCTTTCGTGAGCTAAAGCTCACTTCATCGGATGCATATCGTGGAAAATACAGATGTTTTTATACACACAGACCATGAAAAAATGGGTGTTTATCACTACAAAAGGTTTTCTCTCCCCCCACCCCACTCTCCTGCTGGTAATAGAGAAAACCTTTTGTAGTGATAAACACCCATTTTTTCATGGTCTGTGTGTATAAAAACATCTTCTGTATTTTCCACAGTATGCATCTGATGAAGTGAGCTCTAGCTCACGAAAGCTTACACTCAAATAAATTGGTTAGTCTCTAAGGTGCACAAGTACTCCTTTTCTTTTTGCGAATACAGACTAACACGGCTGTTACTCTGATTCCCATTTGGATTTACTATCTGTGAAGTGAACCTAGACATCAGAGAACAGGGGAAGGGATAGCTCAGTGGTTTGAGCACTGGCCTGCTAAACCCAGGATTGTGAGTTCAATCCTTGAGGGGGCCATTTAGGGATATGGGGCAAAAATTGGGGATTGGTCCTGCTTTGAGCAGGGGGTTGGACTAGATGACCTCCTGAGGTCCCTTCCAACCCTGATATTCTATGATTCTATGAACACGGACCCTGAGATGCTGGCATCTTCATGCCCACAGAGAGACGTTGCTATGGGAGATTGGGCTTAGACAAGCAGGAACAGCTTGTCATAAAAGTCCCTGAAATTATCCTCCTCACTGTAGGGTGACCCAGCAGCATGGCAAATCCCAGGGGCCATTTGGGGTCCCCCAGCATCCTTCCCATTCCCTTTTGTGGTGTTCTGTCATCACTCAGTGCTAAAGGCACTAGACAGAGCTCTGCTTTATTCCGTGACCAGTTCCAGTCGGCCCCAGATTTCAAGCTGGGGCGCTCAGCCCTTAAAGGCATAATCCACAATAGCACATCTTCTCTTCCCAGCCAAAACAACACTTCAAACCCAACACGGACACACAATTACAATTATTTACAGCCAGCTTACTAACTACATTTACTAACAATGTCCACTTCGTCTTTGAGGTGCCTGGGCTTGCAGGGCTCCCCTGACACCTCAGCACTTCTGCTCTCAGGCGCCAGTAGGTCCACTTTTTCTGATTGTTCCATGTCCCGGGGCACCAGTATCTAACCTGCTGTGATTGTTGCCTGTCTCAAGCCTAGTTAAAAGAAGCAGTCGGTACAGTGAATGGAGGGGTGCAGCCACCTGTTGAAACGGCTCCCTGTGGCAGTCACCGTCCTTTCATTTCTAGTGCCTGACTAGTGTCTCCTCCTGGGCTGGTGTTGTAGACACTGAGGTCATCTTGGTGGGTGATGTGCAACTTCCAAGGGAAAAAATGCTTCTTAGAGGGCCGTCTCCTGCTCTGAGACACCATGAGTTCGACATCCTGGTCAGAGACCAGACGGATCAGGTCACCCTCAGAGTCCCGGTAATTCAGAACAATGTCATCACGGTCAAACTCTCTCCTAGGAGAGGAAAAATGGATTAAACCCTAGGGTTCAAACAATGCCAGGAAGATACTGCATGTTAGTGTACAAAAGACAGCAGCCCTCTAAGCAGAACTCTAAAGAATGGCAGCACACCCAGCTTTTTGAAGATATTTAACCCTTCCCAAGCCAATGAATGGGAGGTGTCAGATCAGCTGTGCCCATACCGTGCTGTGTATTAACACTATACAGATATGAAGCTGAGGCCGGGGTCTCTTTGCCCTTCACTCGAACACTGGCCTCTGTGAGTACATCTGCACTAGGCCAATACTTATTGAAAATGGTTGCCAGCAATGCATCTCACTAAGGCAGGGGCAGGCAAACTTTTTGGCCCAAGGACCACATCTGGGTATGGAAATTGTATGGCGGGCCATGAATGCTCACAAAATTAGGGGTTGGGGTGTGGGAGTGGGTGAGGTCTCCGGCTGGGGGTGCGGGTTCTGGGGTGGGGGATGAGGGGTTGGGAGTGCAGTAGGGTGCTCTGGGCTGGGACTGAGGGGTTCAGAGGGCAGGAGGGGGATCAGGGCAGGGGCAGGGGGTTGGGGCACAGGAGGGGATTAGGGATGCAGGGTCTGGGTGGCACTTACCTCAAGCAGCTCCCAGAAGCAGCGGCATGTCCTCCCTCCAGCTCCTATGCACAGGCGTGGCCAGGTGACTCTGCACTCTGCCCCATCTGCAGGTGCTGCCCCTGCCCCTGCCCCTGGAGCTCCCATTGGCCACAATTGCCGGCCAATGGGAGCTGAGGGGGCAGTGTGCGGTGCCCCCTGGTTGCCCCTACGCATAGGAGGTGGAGAGGGGACATGCCACTGCTTCTGGAAGCCGCACGGAGCCCTGGCATGCGCGGAGCGGAACAAGCCCCCAACCCCACTCCCCCACTGGTGCAGGGCAAGCCCTGGACCCTGCTCCCCGGCTGGAGCTCTGAAATGTCTGAAGGGCCGAATGAGGCCTCTGGGCCGTAATTTACCCCCCCCCCCGGCCCCCTGCACTAGGGACACACTATAGAGTTTGGCTGCTAGTAGACAACCAGTGTTTCAAACACCATTACAGAAACCCAGCTAGACTGCCAGGGATAGGTGAATTTGCAACTGGAGCAGTTAGGAGGCAGGAGTAGTATTGCCTAGTGAGTATATCTGTAATTCCACTGTCATTCAAAATGAAGTTATAATGCTTCTTCTACTATCCCTTTCAGAGGTTGGGCAAACATAGGGGATGCTACTCCACCAACTCCCAGATGAGTGGCCCAACAAAAAACTGCTCTACAATAAGTAAAATAGTTTATTGGTTTAATATTTGTTTGCAGTGTTGTTGTAGCCACGTTCCTCCCAAGATATGAGAGAGACGAGGTGGGTGAGGTAATATCTTATTTTGGAACAACTTCTGTTGGTGAGAGAGATGAGCTTTCAAGCCACGCAGAGTTCTTTCTTGGGTCTCTTGGTCTACTGGTTTAATAGTGTATTAAACCTATATAAAATTGGTAAATTCATAAAAAACCCCTTCCCCCCTTGTTTGTTTCCTTTATAAGAGTGGAAGGAAACTGGCCCCCATGTTTGATTTTTAATACTCCAAGTTTTAAAACTATAGTGAAATTCTATTGCCTATTGCCATGTGTCCAGCTTGTTATTTGTGGGATTGTCAGTCACAACAAGCCAGGTGATAGATGGCTCAGTGGCTTGCAGGCCTGCTAAAACCAGGTTGGAGAGAACAAGGCGAGCCAAGACCAAAGGGAGGTGTTAACAGAGTGCAGAGAGGTCACTGATCAGTAGTGTTGCCAAGTCTCTCAATTTTATTGCAAGTTTTTCTTAAACCCCAGCTCCTGGAGTCATTTGATTACATGGGTATCTCAGACCTCATGCTTGAGAAAATAATTTGAAAATGTGACCCTTTTCAAATGCCAAAAAGGTAAATTAAAAAAAAACCCTCCAACATTTATAATTAAAGTCTCAGGAGTCTCAAGCCAATCTCATGATCTTGAGGGCCTGGACTCATTATTTCTATAAGCTTAGGGCTGGCAAGCTTAGGGCTGAGTAGAGAAAAGCATTGGTGGGCTGAGATGGGAGAACCAGCCATGTCTATGTGACTGCAATGCCTGTGAGTTCCAGCCACACTGGACTTGCAACAGTGGGCAAGGATGTTGGGGTAGACTCTATGTTTGTTCAGTACTTAGCCCAATGGGGTCCTGGTCTATAACTAGGGTTCTAGCACTACGACAATACCACTCATAAATAACAGGGTGGGCAGAGACATTATCAAGACTTGCTCAGAGGAGGTGCACACTCAATGATGCTGGCATCACTTGTAAAAATAAAGAGCATTTTTGTGTGTGGACACAACATAGTATGTGCCGTGCAGATGTCTCCACGGGTGGTGGCAATACCTTTTCTCTCCTGTGTAGATGACTGTCTAGGGTGGCTGGACACTGGTCCCGCACATCCCAAGGGTGTCAGACAAGAGGCCTGAGCCTGGGAGTGTATCCTAGAGTCCAACAGCTAGAAGCAATGACTAGACTCTGCCCAGGCCCACTTGGCTTGGAAGCACATGGGACCCAGTCATTGGGTCCATTCACAACAGACTAGGGACCACACAGGCTGGTCCTGGGCCAGGTTGTGACAACTGCCAACTCTCCAGGTTAATAGGGAGGAGTATGTCAGGCCCAGAACACTGGGGTGGCTGGACAGACCCTAACACAGCCAGGAGCGGGAGGAACTCAGGAAATATGCCTGGGAGTGACTCTCTGCATCCGATAGTGCCTGCACCTCCATCTGCCTGTGCTGTACCTCATTAATGCCATGAGGTGCTTGAACAATGGGGTGCTGCTCAGGTCCTCTTCCACTGATATGTCCCTAGAAGAGGGAAAAGATATCGTCATCTCACATGATCAGAGCAGTTCCCTGACTGGGCTGCAGGAGCGCGGGCATCTCTCCAGCATCACCTGAAAGCATCGTCTCCTTACCTGATGCTGCTGACAGTGTCATCCTGGTAATAGCAGCGCAGCCAATTGATAGTGCCCTCCTCCGGGGGTAAGTCTTGAATGATCTTCACAAAAGCACATGGGAAGATTCCAGTGGCCTCGTGGACGGTTCCCTGGGACAAGTGGAAAGAAGAGAATGACAAAGAGGGCACTATTTTGGCTACATGTGGTCTGCTGTGGAAATGTGAGTCATTTCCATGGAGATGACTGCCAGAACTCCCCAGATATGGTCATGTAAGAACAGCCATACTGGGTAATACTAATGGCCCATCTAGCCCAGTATCCTGTCTCTGACAGTGTCCAGTGACAGATGCTTCAGAGGGCATGAAGAGAACAGGGTAATTATTGAGAGAGCCATCCTCTGTCATCCACTGTCAGCTTATGGCAGTCAGAGGTTTAGGGACACTCAGAGCAGGGGATTGCATCCCTGACCATCTTGGCTAATAGCCCTTGACGGTTCCTATCCTCCATGAACTTACCTAGTTCTTTTCTGAACCTAGTACTACTTTTGGCCTTCACCACATGCCCTCGCAGTGAGTTCCACAGGTTGACTGTGCATTGTGTGAAGAAGTACTTCCTTTTGTTTGTTTTAAACCTGCTGCCTATTCATTTCATTGGATGACCCCCAATTCTTTCATTCTGTGAAGGGGTAACTAACACTTTCCTCTGTACTTTCTCCATACCTTTCATGATTTTATAGGCCTCAGCCATACCACGCCTTAGACATCTCTTTAGTCTAATCTCTCTTCATTTCTGTTGCCCTTCTCTGTACCTTTTCCAATTCTGATACATCTTTTTTTGAGATGGGTTGACCAGAACTGCCTAGAATATTCCAGGTGTGGGCGTACCATGGATTTATACAGTGTCATTGTGATATTTTCTGTCTTATTATCTATCTCTTTCCTAACGGTTCCTAACATTCTGTAGCTTTTTTTGACTGCTGTTGCACACTGAGCAGATGTTTTCAAAGAACTATAAATAATAACTCTATTTCTTGAGTGGTAACAGCTAATTTAGACCTTATCATTTTTGCATGTATAGTTGGGATTATAGTTTCCAATGTGCCTTGCTTTGCATTTATCAACACTGAATTTCATCTACTAACTTGTCACCCAGTCACCAAGTTTTGTGAAATCCTTTTGTAACTTCACAGTCAGCTTTGGACTTCAGTATCTTGAGTAGTTTTGTATCATCTGCAAACTTTGCCACCTCACTGTTTTACCCACTTTTCCAAATCATTTATGAATATGTTGAACAGCACTGGTTCCAGTAGAGATCCTTGGGGGACCCAGATATTTACCTCTCTCCACTGGGACAGCTGACCATTTATTCCTATCCTTTGTTTCCTATCTTTTTACCAGTTATTGATCCATGAGAGGACTTTCCCTCATTATCCTATGGCTGTTTAATTTGCTTAAGAGCCTTTGATATAGTACCTTGTCCAAGGCTTTCTGAAAGTCCAAGTACACTATATAAACATAATGAGATGACTGTAGTGGAAGTGACCTGATGTCGTACCTGTAACAGGAATATTGGATTGGGTGGTTGGCTACAGAAGGACTGGAGCAGTGTATGATATACAGACATCAGATACTTCCCCATGAAGGCTGTCCTCTTATAGAAAGCAGAGATACCATATCAGCAGACATCCAGCATGCTCCTGCAGCCCATTCTCGTTACCTCCTCATAGTGCCCAAGTCCCCCCAAAACAGGGCGGTGCAGGTGGGGCTGGAGGGCAGTGTGTCACAAGTAATGCAAACACAAGCAATCACATCTGAACAGGAGTTTCCTTCTCTTTTCTGTGGCCTGTGTGTGTTCTACTCACTCTACATACTCTAGAGCGCACTACAGGCAAAGAGAGTACAAGTAAAACACAAGCACCAAAGGAGAGGAAACCTAAAATCCAAACAGAGCCTAGAAAGGAAGGACCCTGGAATATGGAGATAGAGGCTTAGTCCCAGATCCTCAGAATTATTTAGACTGCTAATTTCCATTGAAATCACTGGAAGTCAGGCGTCTAAAAACCTTTGAGGATCTGGGCCTTAGTCTCTCATGGACTAATGTCAGCTGTACACTGACAGCTCAGAAACTCTAGCATAGCCCCAGTAACCTCAGTCTTACCTCTAGCCAATCTTTGTTGATCCTGCTGAGTAGATAGATCAAGTCTCCCTTCTTGAAATTCAACTCCAGTGTACTGGTTCCAAGAAAGTCAAACAGTGCCTGGGGGGAAATAATCACCATTTCAATGATAAATTCAGAGTTACAGAACTCTGCTTTCCTGCTTTCCCTGTCTGGCATACTCACAGGAAAAGGTTATTTCCCTGTAACTCACATTCTTGGGAGCATATTGCCTAATAGATCCCTGCTATTGAGATGCACACTGCGAGCTGGAGCGATCAGGAAAGCAAGGAGAGTTGGAGCAACATGCACTTCCCATCACAGATCCAAATGTTTGTACAAGGTCATATAGAGAACTGGAGCCTCAAGCCCCTCAGATCTTTTCTGCTATTCAGAAAAACAAATAAAGACTGAGATCTCAGAAGATGGTGGTTCTCATAATGGAGGACGGACACCCCATCCCCTCTCACTAGTGACTAATATAAATAGCTCTTTAAACAGGCTTTCATAAACCACATAAACTATAGTAACTATTAATTAAAAAAAGGGTACAGATGCAATGGAGAATGATTGATCCAAGAGCTGCTGTCTTCAGCTGTTGAAAAGGATCTCAAAGCAACTGAGCCCATAGTTTCTAATAGCCTTACACTGAACATTCAGATCTGCCAGAGGGCAAAACCATGGCCCAAACAATTTCTGCTTTTGAGACCATTCCAAGCTGCTAGTGCCCAGGGATGGAAATGTGCATCCCCAGAGCAGGGCAGTTCAAAGGCAAAGTCTCGCTGGAATCCCTCTGTTCCAGAATACATTCTGGGTAAACCTTTCCATGGCATTTCCCCTTGGCTGCAGCCCCCTTTCCTTTGTGTTGTCCCCTTACTAAAACTCAGTGGGGGTGTTTGGTTGGCTAGCTCCCAGTACCAAAAGAAAGGGTAAGGGTCCATGGGAAATCAGAACCCTGAGACTGACAGTCCCCAGGAACAATGGGGAGAGGTCAGCTCCAGGTCAGCCTGATTGACAGGGCGGGCAGGCTAATCAGGAAGTCAGGAAGCCAAGAGGCCCTGCAGGCCAGACTTGGAGGGGGATCGTAACCGAGAGGGGCAGGGGCGAGGCTGGGAAGGGTCCTGCCACCTAGAGCCTGAGAGCTTGTGGCCACCGCCAGAGCAAGTGTCCAACCCACAGCATCCCTGCTGCACAGCCAGGGCCTGGGACGTATGAGGAACAGACTGTGAACTTCCCTTACATTCCAGAGACGCTGGTTGTGACGTTCCCGTGCCACAGAGCGGGGTGATGTGTTTTCCTTTAACCTTTCCCATTTCTTCTTTTTTTTTTTAATTGATTGCTGCTTAATAAATTGTATTTGCTTTGAACTGTATGTAATGATCAGTGGGTCAGGGAAGCATCTAGTGCAGAGAGAGCACCCCAGAGTTGGGACACCCTAGCCCCTGCCCTACGTGACCATGACAAGGTTGGGGGTCAAGCCCCCCAGGAATCCTCGGCCCAGCCTTGTCGGGGTTACAAGAACTTTGCCACTCAGGAGAGTGGAAGGGGAGCCTTTCAGGTCAGGCAGGCCTCTGGGTAAAGGAAGTGGGAGCGAGGACTCAGATCCTTTCACTAGCCCATTTCACTAGAGTAGTATATAAGCCAGGAAAGTTCCGCACAATAGCAGGACCATTCCCCCATTTACATAATATGCAGGGCCTCTTGACTGGGGGCGTCTCCCTGTGCTGAGCCCGCTGCCCAGGCTCCCCCCTCACTCTCTCCAGCTGCTCAGTGTACTTGGCTCTGGACTGATCCAGCTCCAGCTGCAGCTCCAGCTCCACTCTGCCTCCAGCTCCCTGGGCTGCTTCTCTGGCCCCTCTGGCCCTGGTTGCTGCAGCTCTGCTCCCAGCACAGATCTGCTCTGTGGCCTCTTCGGTGACTCTGCTCCCAGCACTGACCTGCTTCCTGTGCTGCTTCTCTGGCCCCTCTGGCTGGCACAGCTCTGCTCCCCAGCTCAGCTTACACCCCGGCTTTCTGCTTAGCTCGGCCCCTCTGTCTGACCCAGGCAATTCCAGCTCACACAGAGGACGGGACCCCCCTGGCCTCCTGACTCCCTGATTAGCCTGCCCGCCCTGTCAATCAGGCTGACCTGCAGCATTGGCCTCTCCCTGTTGTTCCTGGGGACTGTCAGTCTCAGGGTCCTGATTTCCCATTGACCCTTCCCCTTTGTACTGGGAGGTAGCCAACCCAAACACCCCCACTGAGTTTTAGTTAGGGGCAAGAGTCCCCTTACGTTTGCCTTAGAGAAGCAAGAGCATACCAACATATTCCACCCTGGGGCCCCAAAAAAAGAGCTTAGTGTCTCTCTTAAGAAGGGCCTCCCACACCGGCTTCACAGTGCAAGTGTCTTGTGTCTTGACAGAGGGAAATAACCACTCCAACTCAGGAAAACTCTGAGCCAACTCTGCGTGCTCAAACAGGAAAGAGGCTTGCAGCCACATGCCCTGAAAAGCCCCCACTTCCTGTTAGTGACAGAAAGGAATGCAGTCAGCCTTACAAATACCCAAGGGGAGCTGGGGCTGAGGAAGGAGTGTCAACTCGTCTTTCCCAAAGCCAGGAAAGATTATTTTTAAAGCAGCTGGAAACATCCAAATCGCCATCAAATGGCAGATTCAAAATCTTGTATCAAACAAGTTTTCTATGCACTTAAAGGAGAAGGGGGTGGGGTCAGGAACTTGCCCTCTCCTTTGTTCTTCTCCTTCTTTTCCCTTTGCTCTTCCTGTTTTCCATGTATCTTCCTGGATTTTGAGTGTATCTTTCCCAATGCCCAACTTTTCCCTCGGACTATTAGTTCTGTAAGTGTTCCCCCTTTTACAAGTTTTCAGTTTATTGAAACGTTCTCTTTTCCCCCAAACCCCTTTCTCCACATGAAATCTCTTGTCTGATTCAGCCTTGTCCCATCTACTTTTACCTTCTGTGTTTTATCTCTCTCTCTCCTTTCCCCCACTCTTTCACATTCTCTCCCCACTCCTTTCCATTTGTAAGAGTTTCCCCTTCCCAGCTTAGGTCTTGAGGCTGGAACAGGAGTGTTGGTTTTCCCTGCTCTTCCAATCCTGGTGACGAGAATGCTGCAGGCCCTGATTCAAAGCATTTAAGCACGTGCTTATCTTACAGCAAGCAATGGGACTTAAGTACATACTTCCAGCTAAGCATGTGCTTAAGTCCTTTGCTGAATCGGAGCCTGAGACTGAGGCTATGGGTGACGCCCCCTAAATGCAGAAAAGTTGGCACTGAGTTCTCTATGTTCTGTCATTTCTAAGATTCAGCTCATATTGATCCTCCAATAAGACCCTCCTGTTATTCAGCAGAGGGGGGGATTCAGTCTATATATATCTTCAGTCCTCTGCTTCACCGCACACTAGTCTCTCCTACCCTTCCCGTCTCCTGCACTGAAGTGAGAGGAATTTCCTATCTATGCTTATTCCATTTTCCCTCCTCCCCCAACACATGAACCTCTCCCAAGAATGGCACAGATGTAATAAGACAGATCCGTGAGTGGAAAAGCAGTTTTGTTTACAACCTGCTACATGCTGCACAGGGTACCCACCTCAGCCCGCGGAGCTGCCATGCGGTCAAAACCGGGCGCCTGGGGCACAATGCTTTTGCTGCAGAGGAAGGAGACAACGGGAAGGTAAACACCCCTTTCTAGCGGAAAGAAAAGCAGCTGAATAGCACAGTCTTTGCTTCCTCACCATCTAGGAGGCAGGTGATCCAAGTCACAAGTCACTTTACAAAGCGCCAGAGTATCTGGGCACGACATGCGAGTCGAGCAAATAGACATGGACACGACTACATTAACCCCAGTGTTCTCAGCTCTCGTGTGTCGCAGCAGCAAACCCTGCCTGGCAAAGCCCTCTGCTGAGCACAGAGGGGAATTCCAACAGTGTACTCAGAATCTTAGACCTCCCTTACCCACCCCGCTCTGGAGGAATCCCTCTCTCCCGCTGCGCTGAGCAGGGAAGTGAGACTTGCCCTGGGGGGCTAGTTAGTTCCTTTGGAAAAATCTCAGCCTTAAGGATTGTGTTAATTCAGTCCAGGCCTTCACACACACATGCTGCTGGGTTGGGAGGGGAATTCATTCTCCTTTGCTCTACACAGCACAGCTCTCCTGTGGGATCCCAGTGCTGCTCTGGAGGATAGGCCCCTGCTCAGGTGAGGCATGGGGACCAGTTGAGTCTCCACATTCATTTAAGATCTGATCCAACTGCTGTTGAGATCAATGGCAAAACTCCCATTGACTTCAGCAGTGCAGGATCAAGTCCCCAGTCCTGGCCTGCCCACACCACACACAGCTCCCTACAGAGATCACTGGAACAGAGTCACTAGCGCAATGAGTGGGGCACCATTTTAAAACAGTGCCAATGGCCTTTCAGCATTTCCCTGGCCTTAGACAGAATGCAGCCTGAATACTGGAGGGTTAGCTACTGAGTGTGGGAACAGTCCAGTTTACATGGCACAGACAAGCAGTAGAGTAGGATTTGACTGACTTATTTGGGGGACACATTGGGACTCCCCAATTTCCATCTCCTCAAGGGGCGCTGGACACCCTCCCTTCGAGCAGGCACCCAGGAGGAAACACATCAGAGGCTTACACTCGGCGAGTGCGTGGGCGAAGCCGCCGCAGCCCCTGTGGCACCTGCTCGCAGTCAAACTCCGACTGGTAGAAAAACAGTCGTAGGTGTTCATCCATCAGCACCCAGCTGGGCAGGCAGAGCAGCTTCTGTGTCAGGGGAGACAAGGAAGCAGAATAACACCAGTGAGAGAGATCCGCTTTGTATGTTACCTGGGTAATGGAAACACCTCTCCAACCTACAGACAAACAAAGGAGGTGCATCACTGTCAGAAATCCCCCTGCTAAGTGGGACAGGGTTGAGCAGCTGCTGGTTTTGCCTCTATTCACTGCTGGCCTTGGCCAATGTGTTGCCGGTATGCCTGATCTACTCCAGGGACGTTCACCCTCTTCCAGTCATCCTCCCACCCCAGAATCACAGCAATCCCTGTGGGGAGAGGGCAGAGCTGGGCAGTGGCAGGCTCCCATCACTGCCTATCAGCCCATCCGCTGCTGCAGGCCCCAGTCAGCCACTCATTTAATACAGGGCCCATAATCAACCTGCACACGAAGGAGTTCTCTCCCCAGTGTTACGGTGACTCGGGGAAGTAGGGTGTCTCAGGGTGAGCACCATAAAGAGAGCCAGGTACCCCCTGCTGGGATGGACATAGCTATCCAAGATGATTTCAAATGGGACCTATCCAAAGCATTGACTCTGTATACCCACAACAAACTCTACTCTAACTTCAAGCTTTACCTTCATGTAAATATTGAGGATAGGGATCCGGCTCTCTGCAATCTCCTTTTTCGCGCCAACATAAACCTTTCCTGGAAAGCACAAAACCAACAAACCATAAGAGTTACCAAAAAGAAAATGGGAAGGAAGCAATATGACAGTAGCATCTGGGACAAGAAATACAGGCAAAAGAATTTCCAGCTTTCCACATCAGTGACCCCTGCTGGAGGAAATCCCCCAGCCACTACACCTGCACTGATCTCTACAACCACCATTGCTGGGAACTGGTTCTCACAGCCAGGACTCCGGCACCCTTCCCTGCAATGAGCTCCACTAGGAGAAGCTAAGATTGGAATAACTACCAAGGATGTCTGCAAGCAGGCACAGGGCTGCATTCGACAACAGCCTACCTGGCAACACGGGGAGGGTGAAGGCAAAGGTGTTGCTTTTGTTTTCTGCCCCATATCTCTCCTCTAGCTTGTTATGCAGGGCGTAGAACTGGCGGTAGCGGCGGAAGATCAAGTATCTGCCACCTCCTTTTGTCTTCACCTCAATGACAAACACCTGAAGGGGAAGAGGGAGTGAGGGCCACATGCATACCTAATAAGATCTACAGAGTGCAAGTGAGGCACAGAGCGGATGGATATAGCCAGCCGTCCACTGTCTGGGCTGTTTTTTCAGGAGGCTGGAGTAGAAGGTAAGCTTTCTGTTAAGAATCTGGCATTTTGGGTGCTATAAAATAATAACCACGCCAGGCTGATTTTGCCTGTGTCCCCAAGTTTCCTATGGATCAAGTCACTGTGATTGTTTACTACCACACCATCAAGCGCACAGCAAACCTGGGAGGATCTGAGGCATTAGATAATGCTAACAATAATACTTTACTCTCATATAACACCTTCCATCAGAGGGCAGGACACCACTTTATGATTGCCATTTGACAGATGGGGAAGTTAATGCTCCCAAGAGATTAAAGATAATATTTTAAAGCTTGGGTTCCTTGGACATCTTAAATCCACATTTAGGCCCCTAATTTAAGGTCCTGGTTTTCAGAGGTGCTGAGCACTCATAACTCTCGCTGATTTCAAGCACACAAGTTTGAACATTCTGGCCTAGGAGTCTTGTCCATGGTCATGCAGCAAGTCAGTGGCAGAGTCAGAAACAGTGCCCAGATTTCCTGACTCTGGGTCCCCTGCTCTAACCACCAGACAGTACTCCCATTGATTTCCCAAACAGATTGGTCTGCTGTGATTAATGGACGGCCTGATTCCCAAGCATTGAACCCTGTGCCACTTGGTACCCAGACACTCCAAGGAGACTTAAGCAGATAGTAGCCAAGACTTATTGCAGCCGAGTCTAAACCCTGCAGACCCTCAGTGGGAGATCAGTGGTCAATGCCTCTGGCAAGAGGAGTCTACCCAGCAGAGGGCACACTGAGCAGACCTCATCCAGAGCTCACTCTTTGCACATCTCACGCCCCTCTTTCCTCCTTCCCTCCCATTCTCCTCCCTGGTGTTCCAGTGATTCACTGTCCTGATCTCCCATCCTCTTCTGTGGAGGAGGGAGCTTCCTAATTTGCACGTGCCAAGATGGGCTATTCCTTGTCAGACTGTCTATCCCCCTATCCCCATTGAATCTCCTATACAAGGCTATGGAAAGACTTAGGAAACAGGCAGGGCCAAAGAGCCCATCACTGTCAGGCCACACCCACAGCTACTTGGATTGTCAGGGTGCACCTGTGACAGACACCGCCCCATTCCAGAGGGAGGCAGGCCCCACCCAACAACACGGAGACCGGAAGGCTGTATACACAGCAGGCCATGCCTAGCGGCATCAGGCCAGGCACGTTGCATCCTATTTCCCTGGCCCAATGCTGAGCCAGTCACACCTGTGAGCACATGGAGAGAGTCTCTCTCTTACATAGTAACTGGTGAAGCCGCTCTTCTCTTGGGCATCTGCAATGTTAGCGGAGACAGGCACCTCATTTGGAAGCTGGTCAAAGTCACTGGAAGGCAAGAGAAGAAAGAGCTGGGTTACTACAGCTGGTGTTGGCCTTTGGCACAAGCAAACTAATGGCTCCATGTAAGCTCTGCAACTCTTGGGCTGGTCCTATCCTCTGCTGTCAAGGTTCCTTCCCCACTCTGAACTCTAGGGTACAGATGTGGGGACCCGCATGAAAGACCCCCCCCCCCAAGCTTATTTCTACCAGTTTAGGTTAAAACTTCCCCAAGGCACAAAGTCTTTGCCCTTGGATTAGGTAAAACGCTGCCACCACCAAGTATTTTAGACAAAGAACACGGAAAGGACCACTTGGAGTCCTATTCCCCCAAAATATTCCCCCAAGCCCTACACCCCCTTTCCTGGGGAAGGCTTGATAATAATATCCTCACCAACTTGTACAAGTGAACACAGACCCAAACCCTTGGATATTAAGAACAATGAAAAATCAATCAGGTTTTAAAAGAAGAATTTTATTTAAAGAAAAGGTAAAAGAATCACCTCTGTAAAATCAGGATGGTAAATACTTTACAGGGTAATCAGATTCAAAACATTGAGAATCCCTCTAGGCAAAACCTTAAGTTACAAAAAGACACAAAAACAGGAATATACATTCCCTCCAGCACAGCGAATTTTACAAGCCATTAAATAAAGAAAACCTAACGTATTTTCTAGCTAGATTACTTATTAACTTTACAGGAGTTGGAGAACTTTCATCCTTGATCTGTTCCTGGCAAAGGTATCACACAGACAGACAAAAACCCTTTGTCCCCCCTCCAGATTTGAAAGTATCTTGTCCCCTCATTGGTCATTTTGGGTCAGCTGCCAGCGAGGTTACCTTAGCTTCTTAACCCTTTACAGGTGAAAGGGTTTTGCCTCTGGCCAGGAGGGATTTTATAGCACTGTATACAAAGGTGGTTACCCTTCCCTTTATATTTATAACACCCTCGCAGGCAGTAGAGCCAGGGGGGGAAGGCAACATCTTGCTGCCAGGCACCAGACAGCAACAGAAGCAAGAAGAAGGCAATTCATGCCCCGATTTCTCTCTTTCTGGAAGCCTGGGGTCCCACAAACTGCAAGGATGACTGTATAGACCTCCGATGTCTGATTTTCAGGAGCACTGAATACACACAACTCCAACTGAAATCAGTGAGAGCTGTGGGTATGCAGTGAGTCTGAAAATCTGCCCCCATGCTCTAAGGTCCAGCCACACCAGCAGGGCTACCCACCGAAGGGTCTGGGTTAGCACGCTTTTGCTGGCAGACAACGGGGCACGTTCTTGACCATCCTACAGTGTATAGAAAACTTGGTGTAAGGGCACTGTTGGCCCCTTTCTGAAATGTAATGGGGGTTTTGGTTGGCCCTCTCCCAGGACCAAAAGAAAGGGGAACGGCTGAAGAGGAATCAAGATCCTGAGACTGACAGCCCTCAGGGCCAATGGGGAGAGGACAATGCTCCAGGTCAGCCTGATTGATGAGGCAGGCAGGGCAATGAGAGAATCAGGAGCATGGGGTCCCGTCCTTCTCAGTGTGAGCTGGAGCTGCCTGTCTAGGAGGGCAGAGCTAAGGAGAGAGCAGCAGCCAGAGCCAGAGAGGGGCTAGAGGAGGAGCCTGGGGAGCTGAGCTGGAGGCAGAGCAGCAGCAGTGCTGGGGCTGGAGTTGGAGCAGACCAGACCAGAGCCGGGTGCAGTGAGCAGCTGGGGAGAGCGAGGGGGGACCCTGGGCAGCGGACCCAGCACAAGGAGACGCCCCCAGCCAAGAGGCCCTGCAGGCTAGACTTGGAGGGGGATCATATCTCCAGTAGGGCAGAGGCGACACTGGGAAGGGTCCTGCCGCCTAGAGCCTGATGACATGTGGCCACGGCCAGAGCAAGTGTCTGACCCGCAGCATCCCTGCAGCACAGCCGGGGCCTGAGAAGGAGGCCTGGGACGTGTGAGGAACAGACTGTGAACTGCCCTGACATTCTAGAGACGCTGGTTGTGACGTCCCCGTGCCACAGAGCGGGGTGACACGTTTTCCTTTTACCTTTCCCATTTCTTACTTATTTTTTAAAAATTGATTGTTTAATAAATTGTATTTGCTTTGAACTATATGCAATGGTCAGTGGGTCAGGGAAGCGTCCAGAGTGGAAAGAGCACCCCAGACACCTTAGCCCCTGCCCTAAGTGACCACAACAAGGTTAGGGGTCGAGCCCCCCAGGAATCCTGGGCCCAGCCTTGTTGGGGTTATGAGGACTCTGCCACACAGGAGAGTGGAAGGGGAGCTCTCGAGGTCAGGCAGGTCTCTGGGTAAAGGGAGTGGGGACTCAGATCCTTCTGCTACTTAAGTCCACTGGAATACTGTATAAGCCAGGAAAGTTCCTCACAATAGCAGGACCATTCCCCCGCTTACATTAGGATAATAATTGTAGACCAGTCTGCCTTGGCCTAAGGTGAGCATGGGCACCTATCTCACTTTTGTCTGTATACACAATAAAGAGTAATGGGCTCACAGGTCTGACCAGACCATTTTCACCTTCTTTTAAGGCCCTTCTCTGCCCAACCCCCTTGATAAAAACAGAGAGGTGCACATTCATTTGCCTCAGTCACATGCCACCGTGTGAGAGCTCTCTCTGTGTTAATCCTGAAGTAAAAGTGCTGGAGAAGAAAGTGGAGGAGCAGTGGGAATGGGGGAAAGGTGGTTTCCAGTTCTAGCAATGGAATATTTTCCCACTCAGCAAAGAGTATGGAAGGGGGATCAATTCTCCCTTCTCCCATCAGACCCCAGAACAAGGGGCCTCTGATGGTGGAGAGTCCACCCAGAAGGGCATTGTAGTGTCGCAAGTTGCCCACAATCTCTTGCTCTGCCGGAGTTAGTCAACACAACTCCAAACTCGGGAGGCGCCACCACTTGCTGTTAGAGCGGCCACGGGATGTGCCCGTGGGTCACAGCCAGCCTTTGCTGCGGAGCCCCAGCTGCAGTTTAAAGTTACCCTCCCCTGGTGGAACTACAGGAAGGACAAAGAGGCAAATACCTGCTGCCCTCCCTGGATGGGGAGCCTTCCATGGGGCCCCTGATAGCACTAGGGGGGGCTATTCCTATTTAAAAACTGAGGGCTCCCACACACACAAAGGAAGCCCAATGTTTTGGTGGCTGCAGCCACACCTAGGCAGTGTCTCTTCACAGACAAAGCAAAAGGGAAGGAGCAGAGTGGTAACGCAGTGTTTCTGTGGAACTCACCTCTTGTCTCGCAGCTGACGGGGAAGAGACATCCTTTCAGCTTCTTGGTGTCCAGGTGAGCCCCAGAAAGGACCAGCCCTTCCTTTCTTCTCGTGGACTGGGAGCAAACAGGACCCCACCCCTCTAGCTCTGTTAGTCTGGATGTACTGGGAACCCTCTGCAAGGCCTCAGGAATCTTACTCTGAATACATCAGTGTTAGCCTGTCGTTTCCCGCTCCCACCAGATTGAGGAAGTGCTACCGAAAGAGAGCCCATAAGCCAGGCAGCTTTGTGACTGCAGCATGTGTGGCGAAACTTCCCCCATGTTAGGGAAGTGAAAGGCAGACTGTCAAAAGGGACCGATGAGCCTGACTCATTACTGCCAGTCACCACACAGAAACTGTGGCTCCTGTGCAAAGGGACTGTCACAAGCTACCAGGCTGGTAGCATTTTACACTCTCTTTGCACTGGTGTCCTGCAGAGTGCAGAGCAGTGGAGAATCAGGCCCAATAAAAGTGCCAGGGCAAGGCTGACTGGCATTGTGCAGAAATCTGGATCTCAGGGACTGGCAAAAAGTAGTCCAACTCCCCACACCCCACTTGCCTCTCTGGATAATGACACGTGCCACCCAGAGAACAGAGTTGGGCCTCGGTTTTGTGAAGCTGTATGTGAAATAACCCATGAGGGGCCTGTCCACCTCCCTTCCCTCTGATGTCCAAACTCCCACACATCCCTGTATCCACAGCCCCCCTCCTCCCTGCCAGTGACCCCCTCAGGCTGTAGCAAATCCTTCACCTCTGAATAAAGCTCTGTGGCTCCTTGGGGACTCTCCCTTATATGGCCAGGAGATGGAGCCAAAGTGCAGCTTTCCAAGCAGGGGTAGGAAGAGCTGCTATGAAACTCACCTGCTGCCACTGCCCTTGGGCGCCAGATTCAAAGGGGATCACGGCCAGGAACCAGCCAGGATGATGGGTTGGTGGGAGTGAGAAGTAGGACCCCTGAAAGGGCAGGGATTAATGCAGCTGCATAGGCCTAAAGCAGCAATTGCTGCTGAGATTCCTAGCCACAAGGACTCCTGTCACCTAAAGAGGACCCTGCCTGCCCTACCACTGTGCACATGAGGTAGTGACACGTCACCTGCAGCAGGTGGGTTGGCAAAGCCTTAATGAAGAAAAGAGAAGGAAGAAAGTGTCATTTGCTAATGCTCCAGCAGTGTTGCAGCATATCCTGGCCCTTCTCTGATCAAATAACTTCCTCACACAGCCTCTCTGCCTCCCCATGCGCCTTCCTTTGTTTCAGTCCTTGCCTCTCCTCTCCTTCCAAATTCAGTACAAATTTGGCTCCTTTTAATCCTCGTAGGGCCAACTGACAGAAAGTTTGTGGCTTGCACGGACCCAGCCAGCATGCTCCAGAGTGGAAACCTGCTTACAACTGTTACAGTCAAGCTTGAATCTGCCTTGTAAAGAGAACTCTGTCCCTCCTCTGGATGCAGTTCCCAGAGATGAATGGGAAGCATCATTACAAGGAGTCTGAGCTGGACTGTGTTGTATTTTAGCTAGAAGAACCTGATGGCTGCTCATCTCTGGGGATTGCAAAGAGAGACCCCCAGGTTCTTTGCTGGATTGTCCCTGCAATCCCCTCCCCTGTGCAGCTTGCATGAGCAGAGAGTACAATAGCTACAGGGAAGAGATGTTGCAGATAAGTATCCCTCTGGACCTTCATGCTCTGCCATTTGCTCTGTTTTCTCTGCAAGCCCTGCTGCATGTGCAGTGCTCATGTAACCTGAGGAGGCAGACACAGCATTCCCTTCCCTTTCCCTGGGGTGCCTGTTAATGGAGCTTCCTAACTGCCATCCTCTTGCTTCCTCCTGATGCCCAGAGGGAAATGAGGCCAGATCACCTTGAACAGAAGCCTTAGTCACAAGATCCAACCTGTGTTGGCTCAGGAAAAATTAAAGGGGAACCTAAGTTGGCAGTACATTGGGAAAGGAGACCCCAGAGCTGAGTGCAAAGGATTGGAAGTGGCACCAGTAGAGGGCATTCTCCATTGGATAGGGATGAGTGGGTTGGCGGGGTATTTTTGAGATCATTGGGTGCATGAACCATGTTCGACAAAAAACACACAAGTTACATCTCATCCTCTCAAATGGCATGTAAGATAGACCAGAGATGCTACCCCAGGGGAACAAAGGAGCCTAAAGAGGGCATGATGTGGTACATATGCCTTACTCAGTTTTCTCCTGTGCAATAGGATGTTGCCTTCCAAGAAGAGGGATTACCGCATATAATCCCCTCCAGCCACAGTGAAAAAAAAAGAAAAGCAAGTCAAGACTGCTCACAGCTAGGGTGACCAGATGTCCCGATATTTAATCCTTTGTCCCGCGTCCTGATCAATGTACGATGGGGACGCCATTTGTCCTGATATTCAGGTAAGGAGGCAAGCGGGAGGGATGCACTGACCCCATGGTTCTCCGGGGCTGGAGCACCCATGGGGAAAAATTGCAGCCAAGCTCCCCCACCCTCGCCTCCTTCTCCACCCCAGCGTGCCGTGTCCCTGCTCCTCCCCCCCTCCAGCACTTCCTGCCGCCTAACAGCTGTTTGGAGGTGCTTAGCGCTTTCCAGGAGGGAGGGGGAAGGAGCGGGTACACGGCGCGCGCTCAGGGGAGGAGGCAGAGAAGAGGCAGGGCAGGGGCAGGGACTTGGGGGAAGGGGGTGGAATGGGGGCAGTGCGAGGGTGGTGCAGAGGCGGGAAGAGGTGGGGGGTGGGCGAGCACCCACCCAGCAGAGAGGAAGTCGGCGCCATAGGGGTGAGTGGCAGGCGGGCGAAGAGGTGAGTGGCAGGTGTGCGGGCGGGGAGGCAAGCGGTGGGTGGGGGACTGAGGAGGGACGCAGTAAGCTAGGAGCAGGCAGGGGGATGAGGAAGGGCGTAGTGGAAGGGCTGAGTGGGGAGGGGGCGGGACCTGGGGCAGAGTGGGGGCGGAGCCTGGGAGGAGCAGCGGTGGGCTGTGGGCGGGGCTGTCCCGATATTTAGTGTGGTGATCTGGTCACCCTACTCATGGCTACTGTAATCTGCACTTTTACTATGCTGTACGTGGCACTGCAGCCAATATCAGTGCTAGCCTGGGGTTGTTGGTAGACTCTGGGCACTTACAGGATGTATTGGTGGTTAATATAATCTAAGGTTCCCTTGCCATAATGACATCATACTGACCATACATATGACAAGGAACCAGTATTCATTGGGATATATGCCACTTGATGTTCAGGTATATTCAGTGGTGAGCTGGAGCCGGTTCATACTGGTTCGCGCGAACCGGTTGTTAAATTTTGAAGCCGGTTTAGAACCGGTTGTTAAAGGGGTGGGCAAACTCCAGCCGTGGCCTGTGGGACCGTCCTGTCTGGCCCACCTGAGCTCTCGGCTGGGTAGGCTCCCCTGAGAATCCCTTTTTAATTTTTACTCACCCGGCGATGCTCTGGCTCTTCAGCAGCACTTCAGCGGCAGGCCCTTCACTCGCTCCAGGTCTTCAGCGGTGGGTCCTTCAGTGCCACCGAAGACCTGGAGCGACTGAAGGACTCGCCGCCGAAGTGCCACCGAAGACCCCGAGCAAGTGAAGGAACCGGTTCTTCAGCTTTTGGCAGCTCATCACTGGGTATATTGAACTGAATGTGGGAGCACTGTTTTCTTTACAAATTGGTCTCTGAGTGGATTTAATTTCTTTTCTGAATATGTTCCCTGTTCATTTTGCTCTGTTGCTGAATGTATTGACTCTTTATTTGATGACTGAATATAACCATACACTTTTCCAACAACATGTGCAGAGAGAAGCCAGCATTCCAGCACTCCCCAGCATGCACGGCCAAAATAACATTGTATCTACGACACTATTAGACATAATACATTGTGCTGTCAGGATACGTGCATAGATGAATAATTTCTTATCAGCCACGTCTGATTTGCCTCAGTTACTTTGTTTTTCCCCCTCTCTCCTGAGATTTGGAACTACATTCCCGTTAGCCATTCATCTACTGTCTAGCTACTGATAGCCCCAGCTCCCCAAGCCACTGTGCTACGTAATATAAAGATCTTTCACATCCAGCTAGGTTTAGAAGATCTTTATAATTATTGTTTTATTGGATCACTGAATTATAACTCTGTGCATGTGCTGGACAAAAACTGCATCAGCCCTGCTGGTAATGTCTACCTTACAATACTTAGTAGAAGAGTTGATGTATTACCAGATGGCTGCTTTGAAACTGCACCACATTCTGCCCAGGACTGCTGGTCTGATGGGCTTTCACTGGTACAGAATCAGGCTATCCTTCTTGGAGATATGCTTCAAGGTTAGCTGAAGGAGTCCATCAAGAAATCATAGATTCATGAATCATAACGCCAGAAAGGACCACTGTGATCATCTAGTCTGACCTTCTGTATAACACCTTCCCTGAGTTAACTCTCATTTGAACTACAGCATATCTTTTAGTAAAACATCCAATCTTGATTTAAAGATTTTTCCAGTGATTCCATGCTTTTGAAGCTGCTTTGTCTTTGTATGCTGCTCCAAAAGAGACAAAGAGTTGATCAAGCAAGCTGAATGTTTTTGTCCTCCTCAAGTAATGTTTAATGGTTCTGTTTGCATCAAGCAGCGAGTGCATGATCCTTTCCATGTTACATTTCATGCTGGGAGAAGAGGAAACATGAGGGACTATTGAGTAATACTAAAGATGGAATTTTGCTTTGGATTGACACAGGGCACAATTTTCAAGATTGTTTTGCCAGGGTGCAATGCAGCTAGTGGGAATTTGCAGAAAAACACTGCAGTTTCTCTCAGGCTTCTGGCTAAGGTAATCACAACCCAAAAACACTACCTTGAACAAAAGAAAGTTTCAGGGCCTGGTTCTGCCACCGTTCCTCACACTGAGTTCAATGGTGCTATTTCCAGCGTGAGACCCTAGTTGACATGAGTAAGGATGGAAGAACCATGTCCTAAAGAAATATTGTAGTGACCTTCAGTTCAAAAGGAGGAGTGGCAATGTCTTTTGAACACCAGACTGAGTCACTACCATGGAATCTTGGCTTTAGATGCATGACTGCTTATAAAAAACTCTTGACTGAGGCAAAAGGTCCTACAGAGAAGCCCCCATCAGTAGAGCCTTTAATAATGCTAAATGCAGAAGCTTGGCCCTTTAAGGTCCTAAGAATTAGAATTTTCTTTAGGTAACATTAGGGAAATTTTAAAAATTCAGCTA